GTACCTATATATTATATGTTAATATATAATAATATATACATGAAGTACCAACTGACACAATTTCCTCTGGCATCTTCTCGGTTGCATTTTGACCTGTGTGTGTGTCATCTAGGGGAATGATGTGTCAACTGTACAATATATAGGTAGAGTTCATGTTCAGAATCATCATGACTAATAGTAATTTATTCAAAGAACACTATAAAACACTGTAAAAATGGCGGGTCCACAGGGTACCACTCTCGGTTTTCTAAAAAAAAACAAAACCCTCATAGGATGGAATGGGCAACACCGCATCGCAACACCATCACCAGGTCTCAGACAGTTCTGGGCCGAGCACTTCGCCTTGGGGACCCGAAAATTCAACGCGACTGTGCAGCTCGTGTTGTCACGGTGATGCAACTATAGTTGCTATAAGTATATATCCATGATCAACCATTAGAAACCATGATATTAGGGATTACAAGGGTAATCTGGTTGGTGGTTGAGCCACCTACTTATACATAGAAATCGTTCTAATTATATCAGGTGTCAGGTGGATTTTATGGGTATGTATATATATACGTATGTAAATAAATGGCTCTATAATTATAAATACGGTCGGACGGCCTATTCACGCGCGGCCGACTTGGTTTGTCATCTTTGCTGAGTCAGAAGTTTCAACATTACATTCACTTTCCAGCACACGTTGCGCCACAGACACCCCCATACTTTGCCGCCCAGTTCCACAGCATGTTCAAAAAAACAAAAAACACCCCTAGACAAGAGAGGCAAACGACTCCCCCTTCCCCACCCCCACCCCAGCGTGGCATAGCATCAACAACGTGAGCAAGTTACATGGAACGTTAACATCCCCCCACACCCCAGCGTGGCGTAGCATCAACAACGTGAGCAAGTTACATGGAACGTTAACATCCCCCCCACCCCAGCGTGGCGTAGCATCAACAACGTGAGCAAGTTACATGGAACGTTAACATCCCGCCCTGTAGCATCAGCAACATGATGAAGCCTCAACAACGTGATCAAGTTCACATGAACGTGATTGCCCCACCCCACCCCACCCCAATGTGCAGCGTAGCATCAGCAACGTCATGAAGCCTGAAAACACTGTAAAAACCAAGGGAAAACGCAAATGGTGAAAAAAAAAAGGGTGAAAGGGGGAAAAACACTGTAAAAACCAGTGCAAATGGACAAAGGCAGAAAACATCACTCGAAGAAACAGTTGTTCCTGCCCCCCCCCCCAGGGCAGCATTGTCGAGAAGCAGAAAACACTGTAAAACACAGTACAAAATGCACATTCAGCAGTGTGTCTGCGCGTGAACACCCCGTCGGAGGGAATTATACGACCTTCATGCGTATATATGTATATACTCGAGCTCTGGTAATTTAACATAGCTAGGGAAAAACACCATTGACAATAGCCAATCATAGCTCAATGAGCGAACTAGATGGACCATGACTTCCATAGCAACTGTTAGTTTACTGATGGGTATGATGTCATCACAGGTATTGTTGTATCTTCAAAATCCATCGAACTGTATCATTCCACATTACTTAACACAATACACGGGCCTTCATACCATCTGCCTGAAAGTACGTTGTGTAAGTACAAGCTCAGCGAGGAAACCCCTGACATCCTGCGGGTCCATTTGAAAAGGACCACTGAACTTGGAGAAACTCAGAGGGTTTCAGTGTGTTTTCCCACGAAAAATGTGGAAGCCGTGCATGGTTTCACCGCGTTTCATCCCAAATTACGAAATCTCAAAAATCACCTAAAATTATAGATAGCAAAATTCTAACACCTTGATATTTTTGATATATGTGTGGCATATAATCCCATAAAAATCCATAAAATTATGTTGAAATCCAATAAAATCACCATCAAATCCCATAAAAAGCCATCGAATCCACGGTGTTTCTTTCCACCTCCGCCATCCTGGGCTTCCCGGCGGCGTGCCCAGACTGCCCAGGCCCTGTGGGGACGACATCACCAGAGGCGGCACAGGCGGCATGGCGCCTGGCGGTGGATCATCTATACATATTATATATATATATATATTCATATTAGTGGGATAAATCTGTATGGATGAAATGAAATATTATGAAGATTGAATATTGATTGTGAATGATTATGATATATATATATATTATAGTTTTATGTGTATATATATATATATATCCAGCAATATATTCCACTAACTTGGATTTGCTGAAGGAAACAAATAATAATGATAACCGGGTGGTGGTTAGAAAACCATCTTGAAAAATGATGGAGTTCGTCAATGGGAAGGATGACAACCCATATATTATGGAAAATAAAAGCCATGTTCCAAACCACCAACCAGATTATGTATATATCAAAAAATCTGTATGGATGAAATGAAATATTATGAAGATTGAATATTGATTGTGAATGATTATGATATATATATATATTATAGTTTATTATGTATAATTATATATATATCCAGCAAAATATTCGACTAACTTGGATTTGCTGAAGGAACCAAATAATAATGATAACTGGTTGGTGGTTAGAAAACCATCTTGAAAAATGATGGAGTTCGTCAATGGGAAGGATGACAACCCATATATTATGGAAAATAAAAGCCATGTTCCAAACCACCAACCAGATTATGTATATATCAAAAAATCTGTATGGATCAAATGAAATATTAAACATGAAGATTGAATATTCATTGTGAATGATTATGATATATAAATAAATTATGATGTATAAGTGTATAGTTCTATGTTATACATGTAGACAAGATATGCGGTGTGGTCTTGGCATCTTTTTCTGTTTCATTTCTATGGTATTGTTGCCATCAGCCCATCGCCCGACTCTGTGCCTCAACCGCAAACGGCTGAGCGCCCACAGCGCGCGGTGATGTTTTTTGTTGGAATTTGTTTGGATGTGTTTAGATAACATATGATAACATTAAAATAGTTGCAATCCACTGAAGGCGTGACCACGAAGGATAACTGTCTCTGGTAATTACTGGAAAAGGGTGATTCAAGAGAATCATATTTCCATGGGAAAGGAATGTCTGTCATGAATTAAGATGCTTCTACAGCACTCGAAACAAAAGGCCGACGTCAGAAGATTCTGATCCATACGTTTGGTGCGTATTTCGTCATTCTGGAAAAAAACAACAGTACACCTACCACTGCTTCCAGGATCGTTCAGGAGTGCCCACGCATCAAACACTTATCTAGTCATGATCATTTCCTGATGTATGTTGAACTCCCCGTGGTGGTGGCACCCCTTTCGACGTTACGGTCCCAACATCCAGCCGCATCCTCGATCAGAAATCTGGCACGAGCATTGTCCATTTCCCGAACCTGGCGCCCAATGTGGAGTATGGCAGGAGTCCTACGTATCGAAGTGCGGGGAAAAAGGCAACAAACCAATAGCCGAAGACAAGAAACACTGGTTGGTGGTATACCTACCCCTCTGAAAAATTTTAGTCAGTTGGGAATATGATTCCCAATATATGGAAAGTCATAAAAGTCATGTTCCAAACCACCAACCAGTACATGCTGGGATACCGCCACTAGTGGGTCACAGGTCATGTGTGTCCATCCGACCATCCGATGTCCTGTTGTCATCTCACTACTGCAGGTTGAAACCCGCATCTTTGGGCGAGTGTGGCAGCCATATCTTGGTTCCAAGTCAGATTTCCGTGCAGAAATCAGAGCTACTTGAAATCAAGTTCAGGTTTTTGTCCATCATAGATAGGAAGGTTTCCTGAAATGGGGGTACCCCGAAATGATCCATTTTAATAGGATTTTCCCTGAAATAAACCATCCAGCGATAAAGGGGTACCAGAGGGTAAATGGGATGGTCGCCCGATGCCTGAAGCAAGTCTTCCGCTGTGACATCTTTGGTCGTTCGTCGGATCCTGCGTGAGCAAAAAGGTGAGGCCACTATCATGTCATGTCATGGTATGTAACTTATTAAATCTTATTATATATTATATACCAAATAAAGATCATACATGTAATATGATAATAAATATATATATATATTTGTAATAAATAATATTACATAAAATACGTATATAATATTACATATAATGTTTTAAAAAAAATAATATACAATATATAAATAATACTATATATAATATTATACGTTATATATAATTATATATTACATAAAATATTGTATGTATATATAATATTGAAATATTGTATATATATATATATACGGAGAAAATATATATATATATATTACAATATATTATATATTGTATATAATATATCATAATATATATAATATATAATATAATATATAATATAATATATAATATAATATATAATATAATATAATATAATCGTATATAATAGTATGTAATAGTATGTATATAGTATATAATAGTATATAATAGTATATAATAGTATATAATAGTATATAATAGTATATAATATAATATAGTATATAATTGTATTTATATATTATATTATATGAGTACGACACCAATAATGATAATAATAGATATTACAATCTGATTATATAGTATATAGATTATCTGATTATTATATATAATATAATTATTAGATATTATATGGATTAGATACATGAATGGATAGGATAGGAGTAAAGATGAAGGATTCCACCTCCAGAATCTCCCACCCCATCCATTTCTGTACGCTCTCGGCTGCAGATCGACATCTCGCGGGCTTGTCTTTGGCGGGAAGCCCGCAGCCGGGCCATGACCCAACTACCATCCATGGATGCTGGATTTTTGTACCTCAATGATGTCTACTAAAGGTTTTATAATGTTTTATGTGAGTAAATGCGACGGTAAATCTAGAAAATGTAGCTGTAGCTATAGCAGAATCAATGATGCTTGAATGTGTTTAATCGAAGCAATGAATCATTACCTTTTCATCATTTTCATTTACCAAAAAAAACATCAATGAATTCGGGAACACAAAAAAGATTTTTGAAGTTAAATCCACCGCCCATGGATGACCTGGGTACGTATTTTTTTTCATATTTAGAGCTTGGATTTCAATTCCACCTCCGGAAAAGGTGCTCGCTTCTCCTGACCTCAACACCAGGGTGTTAATGGGGGTCTACAGTAACCCCTACTTGGGGGTTCCACTAATTTTTGTGGGTTGCATAAGCATTTACACATTAACAAGCATTAACAAGCATTAACAGCCATTCGTAGCCATTAAGAACCATTCATAAGCATTAAGAACCATTAATAACCCATATTAACCGTACCAGTATATTAACCCCATAATCAATCAATTAGCCATGTTGGGGTTCTTCTTTGAGGCGCCACCGCGCTGTTTTTCTCCCTGCAACTGAGGAACAGAAGGCCCAAAGGTCCTGAGAAATCTGAGAAGCGCTGGATGAAGTCGGATGAAGTCATAGTTTTCAGCTGTCCCAAAATGTCCCAAATATATCCATTAGTAGCTGTCCCTAATGATGGTTATAGTAATAGTTAATAATGGTTAACCTAAAATAAACCTAAAATATATAGTTTATTTATAGTAATATAACCTAAAATATATAACCCAAATTAATAATGGTTATATGTTAATATCTATTCATTGTGATGAGTAGTGGTTACTATCTCCAGTAATATGGTGATTTGTAATGGGATGAATATGGACATACCCGAAATGGCAATGACTAACACTTTGCGAACTGGAAAATCACCTAATGTTTTAAAATCATGGTAAATCATTGTGATAAAAAAATCATTCCATTTTCACAAAAAATCACCTAATGTTTTAGAAAATGGTGGATCACATATTTCCATTTTCACAAAAAATGATGCCAGAAAATCACTATGCCATCCTGAAACGGTCCCAGCGGTCCCAGATCCTGAACCCGCAACTTTGCGGAACCGGCGTCCAAGCGGTCCAAGCGGCACCGAAGTCTGTTTTTGCTTTGTGAAATGTCGATGTCAGATATGTCAGGCAATCTCCCCTTTAAATAAATGTCATGAAAGATGGTAAACTTTAGTAAAGCCAATTTGAACCATCCAAAAAAAAATGGTAGGTTTGTGGCATTTTTCGTAAATCCCAAAAATTACGGGCACCATTTCAGGTGAGAAATCTCGGAACTGATGGCTCCTTGGGGGACCTGTTCCACTTGGTGACTCTACATCAACTGAGATCGCTTATATATATATCTATCTATCTATCTATCTATCTATCTATCTATCTATCTATCTATCTATCTATATTTAATGTATATTGAAATATCTTGAACATATTACTTCTAATGCATCTTGCAGGTATATTCATATGTATATATATATACACCGTGTAATTGCCTGTGATAAAATCTGAAAAACATCTGGGTAAATCATCACGATGGAAAAAAATCGTCGCGACGTCACAACGGCATGATGGAATGATGGTTGGGACAGGTTAAATATCCCAAATAGCTCGCCTTATTTCAGGATTTCAGGTTAGTGAAATATGATGATTTACCTAGATAATACCTAGATATATGTACAGGATATGAATAATTATGAATAGCTTAAGATTAAGATCTACTAACATCTACTAACCACTTCTCAAATTCAGTTGCGACTCCTCAGTGGGAAGCTCTCCACAGCGGTGTCCCTCTTCCAAAGGCGAGAAGAACATGTCCACCTACCGCGGTAGCCCTTGGAGTGGAAAATCGTCCCATTATTTTCAAACAGAGTGGTAAATCCTGGTACATCCTGGTTAATCCATATTTATTAGATATGATTAATATGATTCCTGGTTAATCCATATATCAATCCGTTAGTTAATAGTGATTAATAATAGTTATTCATATTTATTCCATTACTAATCACTATTTAAAAATAGATATCAACTATCACAATGGATATCTTAACATATACTAACAACTCTTTTCCTACAGGGTGAGGCCCCCCGAAGTTCCAGATTAAACTAGGTTGTCCTGAATTACAGTAGTAGGGAAGATCAATATATATATATATATATGTGTGTAGGTATGTATGTGATATATGTATATATACATGATAGCTGCAATAGCCAATTGCCAATCAATTTCTTTTAAACTGTTCTTCCTGGAACATTATGTTTCGCCCGGTAATCAAACATGGCCGCCCCAATCTCCCAGCAACAGTCTGATGATTTCTCTTCACGGCCGCGCCTTTTCCTCCGTAATCTCGTGCAAAGCATCCCAGCTCGGATTCCACTTCCTTAGTTCGATGATTTAGCCCAGAAATGGTGATGTTCCATAGCTATCTGAAATTACCAGGCTAAATGTGGTATGGCCAAACAGCAATCCTCGGAGACTCCTCAAACATCGAACATACACAGTAGGCCACTCATAACACTGGGCTATAAACAATAAACTTTTCTATATTATATGGGCCTGGGTATTCAATAACTACCTTAGGACTTTGGCCATCCCTAAATTTCAATGACCATTTTGCTCCCAGTCTGGCAAAACCTAGCTGACCTAGCTGATGGTGACATCTCACCTACCTTTTGGATCCTTTCGGTTGGAAAACCAATGCCTGCTTCGGGGTACTCCAAGTCTCAGAAATGACCACCGCACAAGAGTAATCTGGAAGACATGTATTCTCAAACGTACGACTTCAAGTGAATTCATATACATGTCAAAGGTACTGAAGAAATATCATTGACAGTAATGTGGGTAAGACAATAATAAACCATCCCCCAATCATCACCATTATTATAGGTGCTATGTTTACCATTCTCAGTCAGGGTGGTGTATTGTTATTGTTTTATATCCACATTAATAGTCATCAATAGTGATACTACCCATATGTTGATCGATGGTTGGATTAGCCATCTGGTTGGTGGTTTCAACCCCTCTGAAAAATATTAGCCAGTTGGGATTATTATTCCCAATATATGGACAAAAATAAAGTCATGTTCCAAACCACCAACCAGCCAAAAACATGTGATAAAACTGGGGATATCTTCAATTCCTCATGTGCTGCCTCGCCCACAACGAGGCAACCGTCGGGTGTCTGTCTTCGATCCTTCTCCACCAACACGGCTCTGATGCCTTCCTCGACATGGCTTCGGTGGGTCCCGCAGGTCCCGAAAAAATTCCAGGGTTAAATCATTTGAGGTACCCAAAAAAAAGCTGAAACATGATAAACATGGAGATTCATCTTGCATTTTTTTGTGGCTTTTACAGTTGGGATGTGAGGTTTCTAATGGTGGGCCAGTGCCTACATGTTTAACATAGCAGGACCGTAGGCAACCAGAATGGCTGAAAAATAGCGAACGCTTCCAGCCAGCACCATCCTCGTGCCCACAACGGTCGCTGCTATAATTCACATAGACCTTCCCCATTTTCTGGTTACACACTCATCCCATTTGTTGATTATCTGTCCACTTCTGTTTGTGATACCGACATGTAGAATCCAGGTGATGATTCATCTTGATTCTATACTCTGGTAATTTAACTACAGCTATAGAAAATCACCATTCCGTTTTTTTGATGTTTTTTAGAGGTTTTTAGCATCGAACTGTTCATGGCCATCCAAAAAAAAAACATGCCAAACATGGCTCGAAATGCCCGGAGACGATCCGAAACTGACCCAGGCGGCTCGATGCGCCGCTCGATGCGCCAAGGCTCGAAAAAGTCTGACATCGGTTGCGGCCTTGTGGTGAAACGTTGCGACAAACGGTATTCCATCCTCAGCGACAAACGTCAGAAGCTGAAGAAGCTGAAACTGGGGGCAAAAATCATGGCTTTAAAAACGGTTTCATCATGTTTCATCTGATTTACCATGTGGAAAAAATGATCATGAAGTCATGAACCATGAAATTTTGGGTTAAGCAATTTTCAGACAAAGCAATATTTCAATGCAAGAAACCAAGCTGGTTGGATTTCAATTTCCAAGCAATCACCAAAAACATCGGTCCATATCGGAGGGAATACGACATACACAAACCATAGTCAATGGATGTCAATGGCATTTTTCAACACTTTATTGAGATCAAGGATGGCTCTGAAGCCCGTGGCTATCATGACCCGCTGTTTCACCCGCTGTTTCACCACGCTTCTGGAGCACTGGACCAATGCTCATCGTAGCAGCTTGTTGCATGGCTCGCAGTGTCACTTTGCAGCTGGTTGGTGAACAAGACCTGGTCGGCCATGAAGCTGGTCGTGGGGTCTGGGGGGGTAGCACTGTATCACCAGCCAAGTAACTGGAACATCTTCTGCAAAGTAAGCACTGCAAAATCGCCAGTCTCCGTCTTCAGACGAGAGATTATCTCCTGAACTCAGACTGAAAGAGCCAAACACAGGTTTGTTCTAGAATCTAGAATTGGATGCTGTCACTGAAACCGTGTTTTGTTTTCCTCCAATCACCAACATCTCTCTACCTCATTAAAGGACGGAATCTCCAAAGAGACGTTTTTCCAGGGATCCTTCTCGATGACCTAGAAACCTGGCAGAGGTGATCATGCATTTACTGCTTCGGGCAAACGAGTTTCACTTAGAAACCAACGTGGTCATCTCCACTACGAATCTCATCGCAGTATCACCCTGCAATCAAATTTTGGAGGGCTCATGTTTTTCAGGAAAGTAATTCGGCACCGTCGGCAGCCCCATAGGTTTCATGATTTGCTCCTGAAAAAAGGATCACAATCGATATCTAATGTGATGTTAGGCCAATTTCATGAACCCTCCCCAAAAAAGAAAAATCTCCTCCACGGAGGGAGCACTGAAGCACCTGGCCCCATAAAAATGGCCGAGTTTTGAGACTTTTGGAAGCCACCAGGATTGGATTTCGACCGGAAAATTAGGATAATTTTAATGGAAACATCAATGGATCCTGATTCTTAACATATTTGTGAATGGTGTTCCTAATGGGAAAACTAGGATTCCATTAGATTCTTAGATTCTACATACACAAAACATAGGAAAAACAAAACAAAACTAGAATGGAGATCTTACCACTCACAATGGTGTTCACAATGGTTCAAACCTCAAAGTCACGAAAGATGGTGAAATACCATCATTAAATCACATTGAGTCCATCCTGCACAGGTCTCTGTTGCACAAGTTGAAACATCCATGATCCATGACATCTAATTATGGCTTAGTACAATGCAGGCCCACCCAGGGTATAAGTTGGATTAGAATTAACCCCATTAGATCATTAACTATAGTTCATTATACGTATCATAAACCAATAAAAAACATGATAAAACCATAGATACTGGAGTTATTTGCACCAACGACCAGCCATAAAACGACCTGTAGAAATTGGCACCATGTCCGGCCTGTTGATCACCTCGACGTTGTCGTCCGCCAACACACAGTCAGCACCTGGGGTCAGCTAGTCTGATGTTTGAAAAGGCTGGTCGTTCTGGAACTTCTAGCCGATTTCACCAATGTTTGAATCGAGTCAGCCAATTTCACACCAAATAAGCACTGGATGTGGCTCAAATTTTGGAGGAAGTTCCCTTCAAAACGGAGCATCAAGTGAACATAACCAAGGTTCCCAAAAGGTGCAAAGGAATCACCAAAATCTGCTGGCTTCAAGGCTCAAACTCCTGACTGTTTTCATCTCATTCCAAGGATTTTGGACATCCACATTGGGTACCACATGATTCCTGGAATCCATGTGTCAGTACCAAATTTTTCCGAAGACCTGGTTTTAACCCCCAAACCATGGCTTTCCCCTAAAACTGCCGCAAATTTGGTGTTTTAATTTGATAGTGCTTTGGGGGTCTCCAGATGTTTTTCGAAAATCCGCAGAAATGATCTGCCAGAGCACTTGAGGCTTGCCGACCAGCAGCGATCTCTTTGATGATTTCCTAACGCGAAGCAGTTGCAGAGTGGGGGATGTCAAGATATCGATGAATGTTAAACAAATTCGCGTTAAACAATGTTAAACATATAAATTTGGGCCTTAATTTGGCAAATTCTCTAATCTGGCCCAATTTTGATGGCAAATTTCTTGATTGGCAAACAGGTAGCAGGTAGCTCGTTGTTGATTCAACCGGAGTTTCCCTTTGGTCTTCCCAATGGCCCTTGTGACGGTGGATCATCACAGCCATTCCGCTGGTAAAAGCAGCATTTCAGGCGATGAAATCAGACATAGACAACTGGTTGGTGGTATACCTACCCCTCTGAAAAATGATGGAGTTCGTCAATGGGAAGGATGACAACCCATATATGAAATGGAAAATAAAAAATGTGTCCAAACCACCGACCAGACTATTTCTGGTCATAAATGTCACATAAAATCACTCTAAATTTCCAGGTTCTTTATAAACCCACCGTGTTTTCATCGCCCAATCGCGTTTTCGCCCCAGCGGTTTCCCAGCGACCGCCTGGCAAAGCTTCATGGCCTCCTGGCCAATGAGCTTCGACTTGAACCTGCAGAGCCGGAGCCTTCAATGTGGAGGGAGAAACCTATGATGAACATAGTTAATTATCAGAATCTATCTCTCATGATAGTGTTTAATATATATATATATACATTTTGATAATATCAATGGTTCATATCTATTATTAGTCAGTGACTAGTATAAATTGTTAATAGTAATTAATATCTAGCAATAGTGATAGTGATGGGACATATTTCGCTGAAGAATAGTTATTATCTGAATAATGATATTTGTGAATGATCTAGACATATGAATAGATTCTGAATGATATCCTACAAATATACGTAGTTTTATCCTATGTGATCAGTAGTTCATAGTAGTTCTATATCAAGCCGAACCATTTGGGGATATTTCCCCGCGGTCTAACCATCATTCCAGTGACGAAAAAACGTGAGGTCATAAATTAATTCATCCAAATATATGAAAAATCTAATAAATAATAGTCACTATAAGAACCTATACTTATTAGCATACCTACTACTGGTTTATGAACCTAATTAATATCTAGGTAGGTATCTACCAAGGTTATACTATGTTATAACATGTTATAGTGAGCGAATAGTAGATATTCATGAACAAGAGAAGTTATGTGAACCAATAGTATGAACAAGAGTCATTAAGAATCTCTGCATGATAGGTATAATATAGACTATCCAGGTATCTAAGAATAGTTCTAGGCTAGGCATTATGAACGCTTTCTATCATGAGGGGAGAATTACAGTATATGGAATTATCTGAAATCAACCAATAGCAGGTATCGTAAGCCACAATATGTCCATCATTGGTTCATTGGTTCATTGGCATTGGACTCAGATGTCATTTTTTTCGGGATAGCATGATAATGTGATCATATTGTACCCTCTGGTAAACTAACATAACTATTGAAAATCACCATGTTTGATGGGTAAATCAACTATAAATGGCTATTTTCAATAGCTATGTTAAATTACCAGAGGGTAGTATTGGACTATGAATCCGTGTGACCCGTGTGATTTTTCAGAAGGGTGCCATGTGGGAGGTCACGTCATTGTAGGATAATCTACACCGAAAAAAGGGTTATCCAACAGGAGGGACAGATTTCTGAATCCTATGTGAAGCAACACATTGCAGGGTTTAACCATGTTTGACCAACATAATAACCGAACGAATGACTACCTAATCGGGAACCAATCTTTCAATCAGAACGCAAGGGATTGACCAACAATGGGCGGCAGCAACAAAGTCTGAAAGCACCAGGGATGGATGGGTCCATCAGAATGGGAAACGCCCTGGGAACGCCCCAGCAAGATGTGCAATGGAACGCTCCCTATGCTCCCTTCCATATTACATATATTACATGTTTGCCCAGTGGTTCCATCGTATCCTGCTCCAACTATGATGCGTGACAACACGCAGGGCTTGACAGCCCTGCAATTTTCGGCCACCTGTCATTGAGCACTGATTGAGCACTGAGCAAGGGAAAGTCTCGGGCTAGTTCACCCGACCTATCCTGAGACATAACTTCTGAATCTGCGACAAGCTGGATCACATGTTCTCCAGGATCGGTCATTTTCAGCTTGGGATCAGCCCCTCACCATCTGCGGATAGGATCCAAGCAGCCGGATTCGATCAAGATGATCAGTCGACCTCCACAAGAAAATCACCCGGCTTCATCAGCTTCAGGCTTAATCCTTCGATTTTTCAAGATATCCCTCACAAGTGATGTTCAAAGCCGTCCAAAAGTACAGGATCCTTCGTTGAAGCTTTTGCAAGATCCTCTTCAGCTGCATCTCCTTCGGTTTGCAGGCCATGAAAATAAAACCACTATTCACCTATATTTCCCCGATTGTTGACCAAAACAAAAAAAAACTTGCAGATTCCCGATAGGTTTCGCAAATTTTCTGGATGAACCAAGGGCAAAAACAACAAACAAATAAAAAAAAAATCGACGTTCTGAAATCACCCAACTCCAATTGCCAGGTCTCTAGCAGGTACCAAAACACTCCAAAAGCTCCTCCCAGTACTGCGCCGCAGAGGATTTGAGCGTGGCTATGGACTCCCAAGTGATGTCGGGAGATGGCGACCAAACTGCTCCACGAGACGAAGAGGAGAAGGGCCAGTATCTTCCTGGCTGAAAAAACATGAAAACATGTGGAGTCCATTGTTGATCACCTTGATTTTTGCAAGTTGTAGAAGAACGGAGCAGCTACATTTGATGTATGTATTTTCCAGTGGGAAGATGTACATAAACTTACAGTTTCCCCAAGCAATCCGAACATGATGTATCTTCCAGAAACACATAGACTATCATAAACTTCCGCTAATCACAAGCCAAGCCTCAAAGCCTTGGAACACTTCAACTGAAAGCTCACCCACAGCGACCAGTGGACGGCCAAAAAGACCGAGAAGGCTGCGTGCTCACCTTAGATGTGCTATAACATCTATAACACTACCCTGGTTTCAAAAAATATTATAAATATTGAAGTTCAATATATTTCAATCATATTTTTCCTCTCATTTTGGAGCATTGGGCCTTTTTTGGGGGGACATTCACAGCTTTCCTATCCGCCAAGTGACTTGGCATTCCAGGGCCCTCCCGGTAACTCCCAGGTGGTCGCGGTTCATTGATGACCTTCTTCAGCACCGAGCATAGGCCGTCGATGACCAGCGCACCAAGTAGGCTGAAGGCCCAGGGAAGTTGCTGGGTGACCAGGAAAGCCACACCCAGGCCAAAGGCAACCTGGGGCTGTTTCGAAGATTTGGAATTGAGAAAAAAAATATGACCAAAAAAATTAGGGGAAAATTGGGACAATGATGAATGAACCAGTGGATGGAATGGGCTCTGAGACAAACCCACCTGACTTTTTGGGTTTTGAGGGTCCGGATTGGATGAAGGGATTTCTTTCGCAAGCATGGTTTGTGCTAGCAGATTTTTTCCTTCAGCGAATTCTGGGAGGGTTAGATAAACGAAAATGAAAACATGTGAACGATTCTATTCGTCAGAAATGGGCCCAGTATCTGGTCATTTGTAGAGGGATGGAACATCCTGAAAACCACAAGTATATTATACAGGATATCAACAGTATACCAGGTGGTGAAACCATGTTTTTGAGAAAAAATATGCCGAAAAAAAAAAACAAAAACAGCTCGCAGCAACCAAGACGGGCGAGATGGTCAGGAAGGCCATGATTTCCCCCAAAGGATCCTCCTTTTCGAAGAGCACATGGGTTAATTTGAAGGGCTTCAGATGCGACATCCCGCGACGTCACAAAATCCGGAACCCCCGGATTTTAGCCAAAAGACTCGCACAGAAGTCACCTTTGAAAAAAGGAGACTTTACCATGTAAGGCCTAGATAGGTAAGTTGGTTGATACATGTTTATAACATGTTCCAACTACAATAACTGGGATTTATGGCGGACATATCCACAGTTGAAATGGTTTTTTGAACCAAGTTATAACTCCTCTAAGTTCAGTTGATGAGTTGGCCTCATAGAAACCCAAAAAAAATCTCTGAGTTGACGAGGAAACATCCCAAAGTCCATTGAGACGACCAGAGTCAATTTCAAAGTTCTTGCAATCTTCACTAGCTGTGTATATATATATACACACAGAATTACACATAATTATGTTATATATATATATGTGTTTATTTATGATCCTGATGGAGGATGCCAATGAACCGGCTTTGGCCATGACGCCTGCTGAGTAAAGCCTTCCGGAGCTTTGGAACGCCTGAGCACAGCTAGGTCGACATGTTGCGATAATTTGAAAGCCCATATAAGTAACATAAATATACAAATTTTAGAATAGTATAGAATAGTAGTTTTAATAGATTATACAATTCCTTGTATACTATGTTATAATCCATTATAACTAACTACCTCTAAACTGTCTTCATATTCAATACAATCCATTAAAACTTATTGTTGATATATCCTCTAATTAACTAACATAAGTGATATTGAAATTGTGACACTAACATAATATCCATTATAGCATAGATGATATTATATCCTCCATTGAAACATAATATCCATTCACTAACTACCTCTTTAAGTGACTTACCTATTCCAAAATCCTTCGATTGCCCACCGAGTGGCAAGAGGATGGCACGAAGTGTGTTCCAACCTTGGCAACGGATACGAAAACTGCCAGGTGCAGTTTGTTGTTCCAACAAAAAGGCCGCTAAAAGGATCGAAAACTCGAAATATAAAAACGTGACAAAACAGCTACAAAAGCCAAGGAAAGTAAAACTTTAGGTATTTCAATCCCCAAAAATAAAGAGAACCAGCCTTAAAGAAAAATCAAAATCCTAAAACAAGTGACTACATTTCAATACATTTCCACATTCAAAAGCTTCCAATTTCATGTGGTTGATATATCGGGGTGCCAATTCATTATGTGAAGTTGTGCAGGAGTTTTAGAGCGGTCTAACTTTTGTGCATAGGCCTCAGGCTTTAAAATGCACAAAAACAATGAAAACTGGCTCTGCAATAAAATGCCTTGCCACCAAATTCATGCTTGAATGTGCATCCAACATCATCCAATTTCATCCAATTTTGAAGACCCTCAGAAACGCATCTTTAAAAAGAGGTCAGGAAATCCATTTTAGATAGGGGTATTTTAGAGTGAAGGTGCCCAAATATTTAGTGAGTTTTTTTTAAATAGCATTCTATAGCAACAAAATACGGTGGCATTCTTTCGTGGCAATTCCTTAAAATTCCTTAAAAATCCTTTAAATTCCTTAAAATTCAAAAAAAAATCCTTAAAAAACCTTAAATATCCTTTAAAATTTAAAAACATTAAAGATCCTTAAAAATCTTCCGAATTCCTTCAAATTCCGTCAAATTCCTTTAAATTCCTTAAAAATCCTCTAAGGTTCCTTAAGATTCCTTAAAACTCTCTAAATTCCTTAAATTTCCTTATAATTCCTTTAAAATTCCTTAATATTCCTTATAATTCCTTTAAAATTCCTTAATATTCCTTATAATTCCTTTAAAATTCCTTAGTATTCCTTAAAATTCGCTGATCTAAAATGACATGCCAATAACATCGATATAAAAAGATCCTGGAAAAACACTGGTTCAAGTCTGCAATAAAATGCTCCAAGCAAACATTTGTTTGCAATAAAATGAGAATGGAAATTTAACATGTTAAAAATCATCAGGATTTACCTTTACAATAAAATGCTTAGCCCAACCCCCCAACAATACTATAAAATGACTAGCCTGACATCAATTTTAAAATTCCAATACATTAAGAATTTCGTTTAAACTATGCACAGGTTCACCAGTTCTAGAGTGGAAATTGCCACGGGGATGTTGATATAACTTCCGGTAAACGTTTACATAGACATAAGAAAAACCTGCCGTATGTCTGCCGGACCACACCAGCCCGAAGGCAATCCCAGGCAGCGAGATTTGTCCCCGTCATCGCCAGGAAGCCTAGGGAAAACGTACGTGCGGCCGTAAATCAAAAATAACCCATATACCCCGAAAAAAAATATCCAGTAATATCCATCAATATCCCATATGTATAAATATATATATATTATAATAATGGGATATCAATGGGATATTAATGGATATGACTGGATATTAATGGGACTATTAATGGGACTATTAATGGGATATATATATATATATATAATTGTAATGATCCTGATAGAAAATCATATGTTCAATCATATTCCCTATTGTTGCAAGTTTTTTGAAAGAGGCATATTCTATCTACCCCAGGATGACCATACAAGTAAATGAGGGACAATTTGCTATATTATCAAGTAAGACTATGGATATTGCGGGGGAACGAAGTGGCATATAGCAATATTGATAAATTATATCAACCGAAGGAAACACCAATGCCACTTATTAAGACTAATTTTAAATCAGTCTTCTGGGGATTTCAAACCGTATGAATCAGTAAGACTATGGAACACGGACATTACAGAGAGTATGGATATATTTCTGGGTGATAGAACCAGCAAGGACATATCGAGCATCTTCGCGGGAATGGAATGAATATCAAGCAATACAATGGCTGGGTGCTATCATCAGTCAAGAATCGGGAGGTACGACCAAGATTTACCAACAATGATTGGGTCAAGAGCGCGCTGACAGGGGAATAACATCATTGAAACACATTGAAACCACATTTTCAACCACCTCGCCATCATCCGTTGTGTTTTTTGATCTTGATTTTAGATCGCGATTTTTACCCATCCAACTATAGATAAAAATACACCACAAACCATGCAAAAAATCATGCTTATATAGATATATACTTAGGATTACTTAGGTATCCACCACAAGTTAGGTTCTGTCACGCCTTGTTATAGAACTAAATCCAATAGATGTAATCCCTGTATAGTATATTCCCAAAAAGTTTGATGTTCCATTGGGGAAAAAAAAGAAAAGCAGCGACTAAACAAACCCATGGTTACCAGTTGTTATGAATGGTAAGTGTATATATATATCCCATGATATTCCCATGTTGTTGATGATATTCCCATCAAATCACCATTATATCACCATTATAAACGATATTTGTTGATTATATTCCCATTAAGATATCCCAGTCATATCCCATTTAATGGGAATATCATGATTTAATGGGAATATCCCAGTAAGTTGAACTATATATATATAATCATGATATTCCCAGTTATCATTAAATCAATTGCCACAACTTAAATTTCCATCAATATCCCAGTAAGTAATATCATTATTATATCACCATCAAAGCACCATTTTTCATATCCCAGTTATAAACCAATTGCCACAACTTGCAGCATCGGCGTGGAGGGCCGAGGGGCGTCCTACGTTGCTGCCGGCCTTCAGATGGCTCAGCAAATGGGTGGCGCCTACCTGGGATGGGATTAGATGTTCACGAAAAAAATATTGTACCCTCTGGTTATGACTAACATAGCCATGGTATAGATGGCCCATAGATATAGATGGTTTACCTATTACAAATGGTGATTTTCCATGGCTATGTTAAATAACCAGATGGTAATTATAGATGTTTATAGATCACATATATATATATATATACACCTATATATGATTATATATACGTATATATAATATCATCTTGGATATAGATGATATCTGGCAAGATATCTAATTATGTTAACATCAATCATTTGAAATACTTATTACGGTCTTCTGAAGGTTACTTGGACGGTTTCAGATAGGTTTTTTGTCGAGGTTATCCATTGCAATCATATTTTTCTTATTCGATTGCCTTTTGGGTAGTATACATCCCATGTTTTTGAACACACCCAAATCGCATATATAGTTTTAGTATGTTTTAGTTACTTGTAAGCACGTGTTCATGACCTTTGTCGATCTCCATAATTGATGAGTTAGTTTGTTGTCCATTAGGAGACAAACAATATTGCCATTAATCATATTATCATTATCTCCCATGATATCCCACGATATATCATGATATCCCAGATACATGGTTGGTCAAGTCAGTTTGACGGAATTTCCATCAATATGCATTGTTGGTTTTAGATGGTTTTAGATTCACATGGCTGGTCATAGGTTATATAACATATATATATACATATATTCATATATATATATTCATATATATATATATATTCATATATATATATTCATATATATATATATATATATATTCATATATATATATATTTATACAGCTAACATTGATTATATACTACCCCATGATATCCATAAATACTTGACCCTTCAGTATATCCATAAATGTCCTACTATCCCATGTTATCAGTAGTTATATACATATATCATAGTCAACCCTGGATGAGTAAACCGTTGTGTATTAATCATAAGGGTACCCTCCAAATAGTGATATGATACTTGATTATTGACTTGGTACCCGCCAATTAAAGAGCATAGGGGTTTAACAAACCAGGGTTGACATTATCCCAAAATATTGCAACTAATGAGGTAAACCTGATCATAAATGCAATCATAAACCATTGCAAATTTAGGGTTGCTATATTACTATTGAGTATATCAGTATATCCAATAGTTGCCTATATATTTTTTTGTATTCATCTATATTCAGTATTGTCTAAAGTTACTACTGACATCTATTGACTATATTAGTATATCATAGTATATCATAGCATATCCCTATTTAAAATTTAAGGGAAAATATTTTTTCTCCATGAAATACCATAGTCCAGCGCAAAAAAGCTGCATCTGGAAAGAGTCCAATGGCCATCTCCGGCATCGCCTCAAGGCTGGTTTTTTCATGAGATTTGTCAACCGGCTGGGGGGATTACCCGGCCTGGTAATTTAACCCTGGTTTAATGGAGGTTTAATGGGATATAATGGGATTTAATGGGATTTAATGAAATTTAACGATATACCCTCTGGTAAACTAACATAGCTATTGAAAATGACCATAGAAATAGTGGATTTCCCCATTGATAGCATGGTGGATCTTTCCAATGCTTTTTGATGCTTTTCTGGTTGGTTGGAATACCCATATTTTGATCAATGGGATATGGTTATATATATATAGTAGAATGCAAACAATGGGATATGACCAACAATTTCTGGTTGGTGGTTGAACCCTACCCCCCCTGGAAAATATGACTTCGTCATGTTTTTACAGGTGCTATGTTTACCATTCCCAGTCATGGGTTGTGTATTTTTATTTTTTACCCACATTAATAGTGATCAATAGTGATACTACCCATATTTTGATCTTTTGATCGATGGTTGGATTACCCATAAACATGTGATACTGGTTGGTGTTTGAGCCCTACCCCTCTGAAAAATATGACTTCGTCAGTTGGGATGATGACATTCCCAACTGAATGGAAAGTCATAAAAGTCATGTTCTAAACCACCAAGCAGTTTTTGTCTATCTTTGAAGTAAGCATGTAGCAACATCTACCAACACCTGGTGGTTCAGAAATGGTGTGTTTCTCAATTCTGGATCCACAATCTGTCGCAGATGTCCGGACTCAGACCTGAGGAGCCCATCTTCAACCTATCCACTTTAGTTGGGTGTACCAAATGGATTTGTCTCAAAATTGGGTATACCGGAATCATCCGGAATCCCCAGAAAATTCTGATGTCGTTTTTTTTGTCAATGGGAAAATGGGATGGGAACATTTAAATGTTCTCAACCGTGATTCGTTTGGGTTTTCCATGGCTTTTCCATGGGTTTTCCCCTAATTTTTTCCACCCCAAATGGGAAAAAAACGCCGCGCGGCGAAGCGGGTCTTCTCCGTGACGATGCGAAAAGGGCCATGGGTGGAAAGGCCGACGCCACCGCCCATGGTGATGCCATCCAGAAGACTCACCTGACAACAGCCTGGTGCGGCTGGGGATATCTGGGGATGAGTTGGATGACTTGGAATAGCTTGGAACCACCAACCAGATATAGTTAGATTATCCCATTCAATAGATGATTATCCCATTATTATCCCATGATTATCCCATTAACAAACCATTTCAATCAGTGATGTAATCAATGGGAATGACTCGGGATCCAACAGATGGAGGTACGTAAACGTACCATATGTTTGGCTATATGAATTGCTGGGATATTCCCTAAAATTAAGGCCTGAAAAATAGGCCTTATATATGGTAGGTACCTCCAATGAATCGGTTCCTGACATGGCCATTGGTAACTGGAAACTGTGCCTTTTTGAGGAGCCTGCAACTTTCGAGTGTTGTGGGTCAAACTGACGGTCAAACTGAAAGTTTGTTTAAAGATCAGCTGAACAAATGTTGCGCAAGTTTTGTTTGGAACTATCCAATTTTGGATCATGAGCTGGAGTACCGAATGACTTGCCTCACATACCGTGGATTCAAATTCACCTTCTCCCCTCGTGACCCTCGTGTCACCCGCTGCACCCGTTCGCTCGAAGAGCGTGGCCAATCTGAACATCACACCATACTCCTCAAAGAAAAAATCTGCTGGAAGTGAACCTCCACGGAGTCCCTCCTGGTGATTTCTTTACCGCATGACTTGCAGATATCGTGCTCGGTGGAGGGTTCATTCCATGATCCCCCTGAATGAAGCGCGTTTCAATAAATCATCCAGCATCTTCAGAAATCCAATGCACTGTACATCCATCATCCCAAACCAACAGCCCGTCTCACAACAGTAGGGTATTTTCCCCAACCCCATGATCTTGAAAATGATCTCCATAAGTAGTCTTCCATGTTCATATATTTCGGGATACATCATGATACATATCACAATTTCGCCAAGTCCCGAACCTAACCCTCAAAATCGACATCCCAAGTTCAACCAGGCCCGATGTCCTCTCGGATCATCTGAACATCACCACCGGCACAAAAGGATTTGCCGCCAGATCCGGCCATGATCAAACAACCCACCTGCCACCGCATCCGAATTCATCCGAATCGCCAAATGTCCCATGGATTTGTTGAAAAACTGGAGATATGTTCGACAGATACAAGGTTACTTTGTTTCAGGTATCCAAGATCCCCAGGTATCTGCGACAGTTGTTTCATTGTTTCCCTTGTTTCATCGACGAGGATTGGTGATTTGACCATCAAACGTGGGGGGGGGTGCAAAAGAAATGGAGGGCGTCTTGCGAATAAAACGTAAGACATCCTGAGACACTAATCCAATGATTGCTGCAGGGGACAAGCTACATGAAAGCAGGCAACGGAACTTGAATTTCACAGCTGTTCATCTGGGTTTCTTAAAATCGGAGTCACCAAAGTCACTGACTTTCTGATGATTTTCCATTCTTTTCCATGACTTTGAACCTTGGGTGACGATTTTTCGAAGGGCCCCGAAAAACACCATCCACACCTTCCCAGTTTTCTCGTCCACTTGGTCCAAGGCCCTATGTAGGCAGCGGATCCTGGCTGGAACGATGTCGGCGATGGGGTTTTCATCAAGGTGAATCCTCAGTTTCCCTCGGTGATTCCATGGTGGATGGCAGGATGGGATACAATAAACGTCCACCGTGAAACGTGAGGTTTTCCAGACTTCAATTTGACTGAACTTTACTGAAATTGTTGGGATTGTGTGCACCTGGATGATTTGCCTGGATGAGATCCCGGAGTTGTTTTTCATTGTTCTTCCCTCCACCCTAAAAAGAGATGAAAGGAGCGAAACATAGAGCAATGTGCCCTGCTTCTAGTTCCAACACCTGGTAAACCAGAACCCCATGTACAGCTGGCAGTGGCCCATCGGAAGCAAGAATATGAAAAGCCATCTCCCACGTCTAAGACCATAGGCGTCTCCAAAGACGTTCTGTTGCACATCGGCGGTACATGATATGGGTCCAAAATGTGATACCTGTGGAATCCTGGAATACGACCAGGGCACATGTCCAGATTCAAGGCGTTGAGTTTTGCAGGTCGATTCAAGGTGATCTCACATGCTCCGGCATCTGGGGAAAAGCGAGTCCTCAGTCAACCGTCAGTTCTCAGAGTCTCATTGCTGGGAAGTCAGGCAAACCTGAGATTCTCAAGCGACTGGGAAGTGCATCAATGTGCCTGAGAGATCCGGAGATTAGAAGATTAGAACCACAAAATTTCACGGGAATAGAGCAAGTCATGTGGACATAGACTTCTGGCACAAAAATGACTTGGATTTGCCTGCCAACCCAAAGGAGGGTTAGGTCGATATCGGGATTAGTTGGGAGGTTGGCACATGTTGGCACGTAGAAAACAGGGATGTTCATGGATGTTCCGCATGTTCATGCACCATCCTTAGGGATAGAGCTCTCCAAATTCCAGACTTATTAGAGACAGTCAGTGGCTCCAAAGTCATAGGGTTTCCTAAGTCATAGGGCTACCCCCAGTTCTCATCCATTTATAGATGGATTTTCCCTGAAAAAAACCATCCAAACCCTCAACTCCTGGTCAAACTCGGCCCAGTGTCGAAGTCTCTTTCGGCATGGCGGCAACGTGAGCGATCACCCGTGGAAAATCAGCGTGTTAAAGATGGAAAGACTGCAGCAAAGTCTGAACTTCATGCATCTGATGCTCACGCTTTTCTCACAAACAATGGCTACTAAAGAAAAAAGATGAAAAAAACATGTCTTCCTCAAAATAGCTTTTTGACCAGTCTTTATCGGTCAAAATTGTCAGAGTTTTTTTACATGCTGATCTGTGGACAGATCTGTGGACAGCCGCGGCATTGTCTGAAGAGGGTACACCCAAGGTCTAGCGAAGGATCGAAACCTGGGATAAATCCGTATCTGTGGGAATATGTTGATGTCACAAAGAAATTGAGATAAAATTGTGGTATGTTCCCTATCCTTTGGGCAAATAAGAACGTATACCGACATTCAACTTCAACGGAATGAATTAGCTGGACTCTTTAATCTATTCCCCCTAATATGAAATGCCCTGCGAGAAGCCTTGCTGTAGAAACTTTAGTATTGCATCTACTATTGGGGTTAGTCAATATCAAGGTGTTGTATTCACATACAGCGGAAATGATGAGTAACCATGAGTGCCCACTGGAATGGAGTACCTCATGTCCAGGACCGAAATCCAACATGGTTGGTGATATCATTTCCACGATGTCCTCAATATATCCCCCATGATGTCCCAATATATCCCCCATGATTTCCAGGATTTCCTCAATATATCATGTACCGGGCCCCAATGGCACCATGGAGTCCCTCCAACGCTGTCCAGCGCTTCAGCAAACAAACGGGAGCATGGCCCTTGACCTTCAGAAATTCGTTTTTTGCTGGATGGGTCGATGGATGGGCCCCTAAGATATACAAAAAAAAAACCTGAAATCTAACATGGAACCTCTACATGTCTAGCATGGATTTTCCTTTTCCAATACTTTCCAATATGGGGTTTCTTCGGATTGCGCTGGGTTATACCAGTAACTCAGATAAATCTAGGGATGTGTTTCCTACAAGATCCGCATAAACCCCACCGTGGTCACCGTAAAACAGGACTACAATCAAATGGGCCACCAAATAAACAGATCCAAGACTATGCCAGGGTTCCTATACTATAATATGAGGCACTTCTTGAATCTTGGATGGCAGGGACAGTGATTGGATCTTTGTATGAATTCTAGCGGCTCAGATTTGGCTTTAATTGAGTATGGTTGTCCTCAATTTAACGAACCATATTCAGCATAATGTGTTTGGTGATGTGGAAATCTGTAAATGTTACATTTTTTTGGTATTAATTCATAATTCATCTAATCTTGGCGTAGACTGAAGCGTCCAGGTGGATGGCTCTCGCCGTCTGTCTGTGAGCCCGGGCCAAGTCGCGCATTCGCATCTCAAAGAAATCCCCCAAATCTGCGCGGCGAGGGGTGACGCTCCCCGATCCCCATGACAAGATCTGGAAACTTATGTGACTCGTCTAACTACAAAGGGGGGAAATGGTTTTGCTTTTCGACACTGCTTGATCCAGTAGATCTGCTCTTAAATCAACCCAGTGAATCAGGTGAAACCCCATAATGTTCATACCTCATATGTATATTAAAGATATTATATCTATATTTATGGGACCATCATTCCCGGGTTTCGGTCGCAATGAGGTCGTTTCCCCTGCCCTGCACGGAGCTCCTTCAGCAGGGAGGCCCTGCTTCGTACTTTTCTGGCGCGATGGAAGGAAAGGAGGGCGCCCCTGAAGAAAATGTGGGGGTTACGCAGCAAAGATATGTAGATATATGTAAATATTTGATGTAGATATATGTGTATGTATATATATATTGTGAATATATATAATACGTATATAAAGAGGATATGAACTGTACAAACGGGGAATTTATAAATAGAAAATGGTGATTTTTCTTCAAGAAAACATGTGTAAACGACAAATTGGAAATTAACCAAACCACATTGGTTCACCAATGAGATCCCAAAGTCCAACCGTTCCAACCCCCGAGTGCCTCATCTGTCTGGGCAGAACCATTTACTTTCACCTTAGCTCTCTGGCCGTCTGACCGAAGTTTGGGGAAACAACATGTGGCAGGCTATGACTGAAGATTTTGATGATGATTGTAATCATAATAATGTATTAGTGTACTACTAACATCATCTAACACCACCTGGCTTAGCTTCAAAAGTATCTTCCCATAATCCATAAATATTCATTTCTGGTCGACTTATATATGCCATTTTGTTGATCCAGAGCACGCAGCCAGTGAAGCAAAAAAAACATATCACAAATGATGCGAATCTTAGTCGGGCAGCCCTTTGGAACCTTAGGTCTTAGATAATTTATGTTAATCCGATCCGCAAATAGTTTTGGAAACATAGCATTCAGTGCGTTTTTTGATTGCGACGATTACCAGAAACTAATCTGCCTCATCTTTTGCTGGGTCCCAGGCCCAAATTCCTGAGACAGGGTTCCGCGCTGTCTCCCCATGTGGACCCGTGACCAGTTCGGAGATTGGATATTTGATTGTCAAGACGTACCCATGATTGCATGACTTGTGGCAAGTGGAAGAAAGTCCACGGTGGTTACCATCCCCATCCTCATCCTGCATCACCAAAACAAAAACAGTAATAATAACTACAATACTAGTTATTACATGTTATTACTAAAATGACAATTTTGTTTCTGCTTCTGCTGCTGCTGATAACGATGGTTATATGGTTCTGATGATGGTTATGATGATGATGATGATGGTGATGATGATGATGGTAGTCATCGTAGTCATAGTAGTCATCATAGTCAACATAGTCATCATAATTAATCATCATAATCATCAAAGCCATCTTTGTCATCATAGTCATCTTAGTCATCATACCCATCACAGTCATCATACTCATCATGGCCATCAAGATCATCATGGTCCTCATGGTCATCATCATAATAATCACTGTGGTGTAGTCCCAGTCGTCATGGTATTCATGAAAACAAAAACGTGACTAATGATGAAAACAACAGCATTGATACTCAGTATTCATTACTATGATTGTCATCCGAATCCGAATCCTCATCCTCCTGATCATCATCATCCTCCCCACCCTCATTCTCAGCATCATCATCCATCATCATCATCATCATTATCATCATGATCCTTCTCATCATCATCACCACCACCAACACCAGCACCATCATCACCATCACCATCATCATCATAACCAATATCACCATGATCCACCGCACTTCTCATTCTCACCATCAGCATCACCATCAGCATCACCATCATCATCATCATCACCATCATCACCACCATCATCACCACGTTCATCCACATCATCATCACGTTCATCCACCGTTCATCCACGTCATCCTCTTTCTCATCCTCCTCCTCCTCATCATCATCATCATTATCATCATCACCATCATCATCATCGTTGCCATCATCATCGTCATCATTATCATCACCATCATCATCATGATAATCATCATCATCGTCGTCATCATCATTAGCAGCCGCAGCATCACCAGCACGATCATCATCATCATCATCATCATCAACGTCATCATCATCAGCAGCCACAGCATCACCAGCAGGATCATCATCATCGTCACCACCATCATCATCACCACCATCATCATCACCACCAGCATCATCATCATCACCACCACCATCATCATCATCTTCATCCGCATCATCACCATTACCATCATCATCACCATCAGCATCACCTTCTCAATCAACATCATCATCATCACCATCAACAACATCATCATTATCATCATGATTATCATCATCATCAACGTCATCATCATCATCACCCTCATCCTCATCCACATGACCACCATCATCATCATCATCACCATCACCATCGACATCACCATCGCCATCATCATCATCTTCTTCATCATCATCACATCTATCATCATCATCATCATCGTCATCATCTTCATCTTCACCCGCATATGGTGATCATTATTACCATCATCATCATCATCATCACCATCACCGTCATCATCATTGCCATCACCATTACCATCACCATCATCATCATCACCATCATCATCACCATCACCATCATCACCATCACCATCATAATCACCAGCAGCATCATCATCATCATCACCAACATCATCTTCATCCGCATCATCATCACCATCATCATCATCACCATCACCATCATCATCAACATCACCAGCATCATCATCAACATCATCATTATCATCACCATCATCATCAGCATCACCATCACCATCATCACCATCATCATCATCGTTGTCATCATCGTTGTCATCATCATCATCAACAACATCATCATTATCATCGTCATTAGCATCATCATCAACGTCATCATCATCATCATTTTCGTCCGCATTATCCTCCTCCTCCTCCTCATCATCATCATTATCATCATCATCATCATCATCACAAACATCATCATTATCACCATCATCATCATCATCGTCATCATCATCATCATCGTCATCATCATCGTCGTCGTCATCATCATCATCATCACCATCTTCATAATCACCATCACCATCACCATCATCATCACCATCATCAGCAGCAGCATCATCACCATCATCATCACCATCACCATCACCGCATCATCATCTGGTTGGTGGTTTCAACCCCTCTGAAAAATATGACTTCGTCAGTTGGGAATTTGACATTCCCAATATTTCTGGAAAAGTATTCCAAATGTTCCAAACCACTAACCAGTCATGATCTTTATATATAAATCATTATAAATCATTATAAATCCCTATTAAATCCCATTAAATCCTCATCATCTTTCACCTCATCCCATCCCACTTCAGCAGCTTCGCTGCGCCTTGTGCCCCGTTGGTTGGCACCTCCAACCATCCCTCGGGCCGACCTTCCAGGAAACCTGCGAACCCGTCGGCGCAGGAAGAAATCCATGGTTTTTCATGGTTTTTTAACGTCGAACCCCCCAGAAGTTCACATGGAACCATAGATGTCCTTTTCCCATTGGTTGGTTGATTAATAGAGGGGTCTGTTTACCCCTTTGACAAAAGGTAAA